AACCAGACACAGAAGTCCACATGGGGTGTGAGTCCACGTGGGTGACACGCCCAGAACAATAGGCTCATCCACGGACGGGAAGGGGGCTCTCGGGGGCGGGGGCTGGGGGGGGAGGTGACAGCTGATGGGGGCGGGGTTTTCTTGGAGGATGATGGAATGTTCTGGAACTAGGGGCTACAGTTGACAGCACCGTGACTACATGAACCATCACGGAACTGCGCGCTTGAACAGGGTAGACTCTGTGGCCCGAGTTCTACCTCAGAACAGTGAGGTGAGGAAGCAGCTGCTGGTGGCGTGGGGAAGCGACTGGGTGCCAGGAGGGAGGGCGAGGAGTGTGCAGACAGCCCGCAGAGCAGGGCACCATTTACATCCATGAAGCAGGGGCAGAACAGGGGCGCCTCTGAGTGGCACAGGAGGGGTGCCCTGGGGGGTGCCGCCCTGGGGAGGGGCCGCAGGGGTTCCTGAGGGCACAGATGCCCCCTGTGACCGCGGCAGAGGGAGCGGAGATGGGCAGGAGGCGCGCCAGCGTGTCGCGGGCACTCACCTCCCCATGGACACGACGTAGCGTGGCTCTGGCATCTGGTCATACACCTGGAAGAGACGGCGGGGTCTGGGTGCGGCTCGAGGCTGGCGGGCGGGTGGTGGGCCTCAGGGCCGGGCCTACCTTGCGGAGCGCTGGGGCCATCTTGTTGGTGAGCGTGCCGGCCACAATCATCACGTCGGACTGGCGCGGGCTGGCGCGGAAGACCACGCCAAAGCGGTCCATGTCATAGCGGGGCGCGGCCATGTGCATCATTTCCACGGCACAACACGCCAGGCCAAAGGTCATGGGCCACAGGGAGCTCTGCGGGGGCAGGTGGTCAGCCCGGGGGCACAGTACCCGCCCCAGCTCAAAGCCCATCGGCCAGGCCTCCCCGCGGCAGCCAAGCCACCTCCAGGCCCCAGAGGGCCCTCCGACGGTGTCACGGCCCAGGGTGCTCAACAGGAAGGTAAAGCAAGCTGCGCCTGTGGGTCAACACTTCCCCGCAGCCACGTCGCCGAAAAAGTAAAGAGCCCCAGCCCACGTGACCCGCACGTCCTAGGTCCCATCCTTCCAACACAGGCACGCGCCGGTCCCAGTGCCTGGAGAGCCCCGTGTGGCACAGGTCGGACCCTGGGGCTCAGCCCCTCCGAGGGGCTCCTTCCTAACACTCCTAGTGTCCAGGGGCTCCCAGTGCCTATTCCTCCAGGAAGGCTTCCTGGATGCCGCTGCCCTCTGACCACTGCCTCCACCCATCCAGTGGCTCCTTTCTCCCGCTGACTCCTCTGCCAGAGCCTTCTCTGCTGTCTCTCTGCCTAGCCGGGGACCTGGAGTGGGTCCTGCCTGCCCCCCATTGGGCTTGGGCTACACAGGCGGCTGACCCTGACAGCCTCGCAGATGTGCAATTAGGACCAACACTGCAGGGGACACCCGGCGGGACGCTCGCCATGGCCCCATCGGTTACAGAGACACACCGGAACGGCCTGCCCCTGGGACCCCCAACACACCAAGAGGAGCCACTGCCCTGTGAATCGGGGAGAGAGACGTGCACACAACACGCAGACCGTCCCCAGTGAGTACTGGGGGCGGGGGAGTGTTTTCGGGTTTTTCCCAGGAAGGAGCCACTGTTCCAGGGACACACCACTTTCCCAGTTAAAATCACTTCTGCATCAAAAGAGAAGAATAAACAGAAACAGGAGACCCGCAGAGGGGAGGCAGGTCATCTTCCCTGGGGGTGGAGGGAGAGACCAGGAAGCATGGCGTGGGCACCGAGAGGACATCAGGGCCAGCAGCGGACAGGGGCAGGTGTGCACGTGTGTGAGCACGTGTGAGCATATGGCGGGAGGCCTGAAGGACGCGGGAGGGGTCAGGGGCTCACCCGGCGGGCCCAGTTGATGAGGTCATCCAGCTTGGCCACCACATACTCGCCTCGGCTGCTGGGAAGTGCGGAGGATTTGGGGGCCACGGCTCCAGCCGTGGACGTGGCGGGCTGGGTGCTGGTGAGAACACACGGCAAGGGGAGGGGGGCCTTAGCCAGGCAGGCACCCCGACACCCCCCACTGCACGGTCGAGCCCAGAGCCCCCTCTCAGAGGGCAGCAGCAAGCTGGGGCATGGGCTGCTCTGGGGCAGCACCGGTAGGAGCTGGGCTGCCGGGGTCAGGACAAGAATGAACTTTCGGCAGCTGCCCTGCTGTGGCCCCAGCTGGCCTCTGTCCCCGTGGAAACTTGGTCCCCCATGCGGAAAGCAGGAGCTCCACTGACACGCTGTCAACGGCCCTTCTGGTCTGGGGACGTGCAGCCGTGGTCTTGGACATGCAGCAGGGGGCTGGGCAAGGCTCCAAGGGCAGGGACCCCTGCTTCATTGCCTGATGGTGGAGGGAGGGCCCTGGAGTCACCGGGGCTGCTGCGGTGCTAAAGGGAGGCTTTAGGGTGCGTAGGGTCCCAGGAAGGCTGGCCTCACCTGCTGGGGCTGTCAGCAGCCACGCCTGAGCGGACACCACGCACCTGGGTAGCCACGCCCACGCCGGAGCTGCAGAGAGAGGGGTGCACGTGAAGAGGAGCCCGGGGTGCCCTGAGACGTTGTGACAGAGGCTACACTGGAGCAGGGATGGGGAAGTTCCACCCAGGGGGCCAAACCTGGCCCTCTGCCTGTTGTTGTAAATAAAGTTTTATTGACATGCAACCACATCCACCCCTTTCTATCGCCGCTGTTTCCACAAAGGCAGAGCTGAGTAGTCTCCACAGAGCCAATCCGGCCCTTCATGGAAAGTCTGCTGAGCCCTGTCTAGGAGGTGTCTGGCTCTCATCTCCTAGGTCTCTCACTTCCCCTTTATTTTGCAGTGAATGCGTTTGATTCCTAGAAAAAACGTCTTCTCAAAACAAGGCAGAGTCGGCCCAAGCCCAAGTGCTCCTCGAAGCCTCCCATCTCCCCTCCATCAGGAAGACCCTCTCCTCAGATCTGCCATGTCCCTGCCCCGTGGCGCCGGAGATTTCATTTCTGGGCTCTGTCCACTGAGAGGGCACGGTGACTACCTGCCTCCCTGTCCCGAGGAGGCCTACTGGAGGCCACCACCTGAGCAAATGCACCAACCGCCTTCCCGCAACACGTGAGCGAGCTGGGAGGGAAGGGGTCTGAACACAGGCTCGGCCACCACCTGGGCCGTCCCCACGGAGAGGCCTGACCACCACCTGCAAGACCGCCGGACTATGTGACCTTCAGCAGGTGGGCCCCCTCCTAGCGCTGCTGAAGGACCAGCCCAGCTCCGCCGTGCTCTGATGCACCCCCACCCGCCACCGAGCCCTCCCGGGCAGGGCCGTGTGCTGGGGGAGACGCAGACACTCACCGCAGAGCAAGGATCCGGCAGAGCAGGCCCGGAGCTGCTGAGAGAGCCACACGGCGCAGGCAGTGAGTTGTTTGTAGGCGATAAACCCCGGTGGGGCCCAGCCTCCAGGAGTTTGCCCATGAGCCCTACGCCTGGCACGTCCTTCCTGTTACCCTTGGTCTATCTAAATTCCACTTAACAAACACCTGGTAAAAAGGGGTCTTCCAGAACGTGCCCCACCCCGTGTCCCTACCCTGCTTAATATCCCACACCCTGAAAAAAAGGCCACACCACACCCGGGCCAGCCTCCCTTTCCTCCTGCAGGTCAGCGTCGCTCCTGCCTCAGGGCCTTTGCACTTGCGGCCCGCGCTGCCTGGAGCACCCTGCCCCACGCGGGCACATGCCAGCCCTTCTCACGGGCAGGTTTCGCTCCGTAGCACCCATGCCCCCCGGCTCTCCGGAAGCGGTCACCCTGTTGCACCTCCATCTCTGTGCTGCGTGGTGCCTGTCTCCCCCCAGACGCTAGGGCCTCGCTGGGGTCCCCGGGGTCCTCTGCTGTGGCCGGGCTCCCGGCCCTGGGCTGCGCGTGACAACCACGCTCCCGCGGGGCCCGGGTCCGCTGCGCGCCGCCCGTCCCTCCCGGTGCCCCGGGCGGAAAGCCAGGTCGGGGGAAGCGCTCGCGGCGCGGTCGGCGCCCCTCCCCTCGGACGAGCCGCCGGATGTCGCCGCCCGGGCCCCGACGACGCTCTCCCCCGCACCTCCAGCCCTCGTAGTCTGCGCGTTGACCCCGCATCTGCGGACGGCAGGCCTGCGCCGCACGCCGCGCTGGGAGCCCCGGAGGCCTCGGTGTCCCCGCTTGTCGGGGCTCCCGTCGCCCCGCCGCGCCGCTTGGTCCCGGGGACGAGAGCGGCGGCCCCCCGCCCCCCCGGACCCCCGACCCGCCCCGCTCACCCGCCGGCAGACCCCCCGCCCCCCGGATCCCCCGCCCCCCGGGCCCCCGGACCCCCCGCCCCGCTCACCCGCCGGCAGACCCCCCGCCCCCCGGGCCCCCGGACCCCCGGACCCCCCGACCCGCTCACCCGCCGGCAGACCCCCCGCCCCCCGGGCCCCCGGACCCCCCGACCCGCTCACCCGCCGGCAGACCCCCCGCCCCCCCGCCCCCCGGACCCCCGGATCCCCCGCCCCCCGGACCCCCCGACCCGACCCGACCCGCCCCGCTCACCCGCCGGCGCCGCCATGTCCGCCTCGGCCTTCAAGCAACCTCTGCGGTCCGTCCGCCTCAGCGCTCCGGGTCTCCAGGCCCGGCTCCCAAAGCGGCTCGGCGGCCGCGCGGAACCCGGACCCCGGGCCTGGGACGTTCCGCCTCCGCGCACTTCCCTGCGGTGCGCCCCGGACACCGCCTCGCGGACGGGCTGGCCTGGGGGTGCGCGCGCAGCGCCCCGCATAAAGCAGGGGCGCCGCTCGCCCGCCCCTTGGCTCGCGAACAAAAGCTCAAAACCGCGTCCCTGGGTGGGCTCGAACCACCAACCTTTCGGTTAACAGCCGAACGCGCTGACCGATTGCGCCACAGAGACGGCGCTGCCGCCGCGGGCCGCCCGGGCTCCTAGGAGGCGCGCGCAGCCGGGCGGACTCGGGGCGACGGCGGCCCCTGCCGGCCAGCCGAGGTAGCTCAGCTGGGAGAGCGTCAGACTGAAGATCTGAAGGTGCCTGGTTCGACCCCGGGTTCGCAGCCGTTTTGGCGCTCGGCTCCCGGCCCGTCCTTCCCCCGCGTGCCCCATTCTGCGGACGACGGACGGACGGGGCGCCGGCTCAGGCCCACGCCGGGGAGGAACGGAGCCCCCAGGCCGTGATTCCGGCCCAAACGTGGACTCTAGCCCGGTTCCCAACGCTTCCTAAGCGGTAGGATTAGGACGAGCGCTACTTGTTAGGATAGGAGTTCGCAAGAGCACCTTCCGCCTGCATGCCCCCTAATTCTTGCAGTCCTGCCGGATTTTACACTTGGGGGAAACTGAGGCTCACCCAGGCAAGCGCAGGGGAGCGGCAGGCGGGCCTCCTGGCAGGACCACTCCGGCCCCGAAGCCTGCACGGCCCGCCTGGTCTCGCTCCCGGGGAGCCCCAGGTCCCGGGTGGGAGGTGGGGGGCCCCTTCCCCTTTCCTTCCCGCTCCCCGCTAGCCTGTGGAGCTGGATTGTGTAACTTACTTAACTAAACTTTGCATTTTCACAGGAAAGTTGCCGACATTCCGGAGTTCCTGTGTACCCAACACCCAGTTCTGTTAGCAGCTTACACCGCAGGACACATTCGCTGCAATTCATGAACCAAAGTGGAGGGTGCTGAAGTCTGAGCTTTATGCAAGTGTTCTGTTTGCCCATAACGTCCTTGCCCTGTGAGTGAGGGACCCTGGGGACTGAGCCCCCGGCCCCAGCTGAACTTTCAGATGACGCAGCCCTGGTGACATTCGACTGGCACCTCATGAGACCTGAGTCACCCAGCCGAGCTGCTCAGTGAATTTCCAGCCCCACCGGAACCACGAGAGAGCGTCTTTTCCAGCTGCTAGAGGCCATGGGCCTGGTCAAGGCTGCTTGACCGAGGCGAGGTCAGGGAGGTCTGAGCCAGCCTCCTGGGAGAGCCCTGCAGTGGGAGGCTGGCTGGGGGAGTGAGACCAGGCACCGGGCACGGGAACCTGGGCAGTGGGGGCAGTGAATCAGGGACCGGGGGTGGGAGGGCATGGACTATTACATGTGCAAGTGTGCTTCCCTGACGTTTCAGATTCTTACCCTATAGGGAATTACTTTTTTTTTTTTTTAAACGGTTTTATTTGAGAGAACGAGCACACGTGTGCGGGCATGAGCGGGGGTGGGGGGCAGCGCAGAGGGAGAGGCAGACTCCCCATTGAGCAGGGAACCCGACTGGGGACTCCATCCCAGGACCCCGAGATCATGACCTGAGCCAAAGTCAGACGCCCAACCAAGTCACCCACACATCCTGTGAATTGTTTTTTTTCTTTAAAGATTTTATTTTTTAAAGATTTTATTTGGCAGAGAGTGAGCGAGCACAAGCAGCCCAACTGGAGGCTCGATCCCAGGACCCCGGGATCATGACCAGAGCCGAAGGCAGGTGCTTCACTGAGCCACCCAAGCACCCCTAGGTTTTATTTTTAAACAACTCTATGCCCAACGCGGGGCTCTTACGACCCCAAGATCAAGAGTCAAACGCTCCACCAGCTGAGCCAGCCAGGCACCACCTCACCCCGTGACTTTTTAAAAATCAGTTTTTTAGGGGCGCCTGGGTGGCTCAGTTGGTTAAGCGACTGCCTTCGGCTCAGGTCACGATCCTGGAGCGGTGGGAGGAGGGGAGGGCAGGGGGTCAAGGGGGCAGCAGGGAGGCCACACAGAGGCCAGGGAGCTAGAGCCCAGAGGGAAGGGGCAGAGGTGGGCGGGGGAAGGAGGCAAGATGGTCATGGGTTTGTGTGGGGTGGGGGGGCTCCTGGCATTGAGGGGTGGGGTCCAGGATGCTGCCCAGCCCCCCTGCAGCACCCAGGATGGCCGTCGGAGAATGACCTGGCCTGACGTCTGCAGCGCCGAGGGGGGAGACAGGAGTAGGAGTGGGGGCGAGGGGTGGGCTGACGGAAGCCTCGCGGTGGACAACAGGGCAGTGCTGGGGGCAGTCTGTGTCTCAGAGGCTTGTGCTGTGCGTGCTTCTCCAGGGACCCCCATGGGGCCGCCAGCTGCCGGGCCCCGCGCCCCTCACACCTGCCCAGCGGCCATAGGACGAGCACCCTCAGGCTCCCCGCAACAGGGCGCAGGCCCAGGGTGCAGGTGGGGCTCCGGCGGGCATTTGACGCTGGTCTGGACAGGCTGACTGCGCCAGTGGCCCACCTCAGCCACCGCATCGAGCACGGCCAGTGGTGGACGGAGCCATCAGGCTCTCCCAGAAAGGGGCACGGCCCGCTTTGGAGACACTGTCGGGCTGTTCTCTGTGGAGGAAGCGACCAAGCGGCCTGGCTTTGGGCTCCACGGTGGACGGGAACCGTCGACCCTCTGTGGTCCCAGCCCCGCTGTCCCAGGCCAGCTCACCCCGCCCCCCGCCACCATCGGGAGGATTCTGGAGCCATCTCCCAGCCTCTCCCGCTGCACAACTGACCCGTGGTTGTGTGTGTGGCCCGGGCCTCTGCCGGCTCAGACAGCCCCTTCTCAGGGCCCGAGCCCGCCCACCTCCCAGCAGGCTCTCCCTCTAAGCCCCCACTCTAGTGGCTGCTGACCCCGGCCAGGGCCTCGAGCTGAGCCTCCTGACCGTGTACCCACTGCGCGGTCCCCCAGCAGCTCAGGATAAAGAGTTCATTTGAGCATGGCTTTGACAGGCCACAGAATTTCTGTGACTGGATCAGGACAGGCCATGGCAGGTCTCCAAAGGCCAGGGCCCGCACTGGGGACCCTCGGGCACCAGGGTGACCCCCCAGCTGCCTCCTTTTCTGGGCCTGGGCAGGAACGTGAGCCTGGCCTCCAGGCAAAGGCCTTGCTTCTGCAGGAGCCGGTCCCCACACTGCGACCCCACGGCCACACACACAGTGACTGAGGCAGCTACGGGTGGGGGTCCTGCCCTCTGGGGAGACCGCGCTCAGCACTGGGCCAGATGCGGCCACACGGGAACATCCACACGGGACCAGGGGGTGGGTGGGAAGCGGCTGCTGGAGGGTCCTGCTGCACGTGTTCTCCCGCACAGGGAAGGACGGCAGAGCTGAAATGCGAGGAAACCCGAGTGCAGCACCGAGGCCTCGGGGCCTGCCTCAAGGGGAGGCAAACACGGAAACACACGCATGTTCTGGAGGAACGCATTCACAGAGGCTTTCTTAAAACTCCTGTTTAATACTGGATACAGTGCTTTTTAACATAAAAAAAACAAATGTGCACCTTTTATTAAACAATACAGTACAGTCACAAGTAATGATATGCAATAAAACAAAACACATTTTTGTTTCAAAATCAGGAACTCTACCTTCCACAAAAGCCAGGAAAAGAGCACCCACAGATGAGAAAGAAGCGAGCACATTCCAGGCCCTGGTCCCGCAGACCGCACTCGCGCCCCAGCCACGGGACCCATGGCGGCCCCTCCAGCATCAGCACCGCTGACTCCTTTCTTCTAGGAGCTGGTTATCAAATATTTCTTTTTCCCTTCAGAAAACAAAAGCAGAGAGCCTCGTTTAGTAATTCCTCGTCTTGAACATGAAACAGACGAGTCCGTGCTTCACGGGGACAGAGTCTCCGTGTGGGGAGATGGAACGTTCTGGAGACGGAGGGTGGGGGTGGCCGCAGGACGGTGAGTGGGCCTCACTCCGCTGAGCTGTGCACTCAGAGACGGTTACGACAGGACATTTTACGTCATGTGCATTTTACCACAATTCATAAAAAAAAATGAACGGCTTTTTAAGGAGTGTGAACTTTCAAATTGTCCTCATTAAGCGACTCCTTGATAAGAATTACGTTAACGGGTGTTTGGGGCACGCCCCCAGGGTTGGCGACCGTAACAAAGAGCACAGACTGGGACAGCGGGCGGCTCAGGCGAACCCGAGGCCGCTGGGCGGGCACCCCTGATGGTCAGCACAGCCTGAGGGAAGGGGCCCCGCCCCTGGAGTCCGGAGCAGGTGCACATGCGTGTCCACGGCTGGCCAAGAGCAGCGGCAGAGCATGAAGACGGACAGCCGTCCTCACAGGCACAACGGCCAGCCCCTCGGACGCGGAGGAGGAAATCGCTGGGCGGGGGGGGCAGGTCCCGGCCCCGACCCTGCTCCCCCAAGAACACTATTCCGTACTTGTGTTGAGGGCACCGCACTGGACCACCGAGATCCAGGGACAGAAACACCAAGTCTCCCTGCTGCCAAGGCCCCTCGTGCTCTGCTGGCTCATCTGGGCCAACACTCCTGCACACCGAGCCAGACGGGCCCTTCCGTGGCCAGCCTGGCAGCTGGCCTCCCCACCCCGAGACCTGGCCTCCTGGCACGCCGCGGGGCCCCCCCGGGAAGGAGCGCGGCCTCCTGGGAGCTGTCTTCGCTGTCCGGCATCCGTGACAGTGGGCCCAGGCGGCCTTGGACAGAGACCCTGGCCTGCGACTCTAGTTGAGTCTTCAGCCTGTCACTGCCACGCGGGCCCAGCCTGTTCCCAGCAAGCCTGGCAGCAAGCCCAGAGACGGGATTAGGGGCTCTGGGGGCCAAAAATCCCAGGGCGGCTAACCTCACCGACGGAAGAGAAACATCTTGATCACGGCATTCTTCTGACCAGCTAGGAACGGCCCAGGCGACTGCTGCCGTGTAATCTTACTGTGTTTTCTTAAACGGCCACGGCACCGGGGCAAGGGGAGAAAGCTCGAAATGCAAACAGGAGCCCATGCGAAACGCGATTAGGCACCGCAGGCCCGGCACGCGCCCAGGGAGCAGCCCCGGTGGGCTGCCTGTGGGCCGTGGCGTGGGCCAGCTCTGCCTGCCCAGACCGGCTCAGGGACGCGCCCGAGGACAGCGCCCACTGCTTGCGTCACTGGGTCCCTCTGACAACTCCTGGCCAAGGGCTAACGTGCACTTCCCATCGCAGGCACTTCATTCACCCGCCGGGCACCTGGACCAGCGTGTCGGCAAGAGGGGCCTTGAGCCCCAGCCACCAGCACGAGGGAGCGCGAGCCCTTCTAGACACACTTGTGCTGCTTGGGGAGCAGCGCCCTGAGCAGCCTACCGGTAGCTGAGGGACGGTCCTCTGAGGTACTTCTCCTCAGCCGTCTTGTAATCCACAGCGTCCACCGCCGCGATCGCGCAGATGATGGCCTGCAAGGGGCAGAGGGCGCTCAGCCGCGGGCAGCGGGCCCGTGGCGCCCGCAGAGCTAGAGGGATGCGCGTGGGGCCCGGGGCAGCTTCCGAGCAGCCTCCACGAACACGCACGGGTCCGTGAGATCTCTGCAGTCACGTGAAGGACGGGGTCTTTCGGACGAGACACGAGAGTTCGTGTCACTAAAGGCAGAGAATGAGGCAGGACCAAAACCAACAAGCCCATTTGTGGAAATTTGTAAGTTCACTGTTCAAACAACAGGAAAAATATAACCGCAATCATCCAAGCACACGGCATGTCTGACGTTGAGAAATCCTTCTCTGTTTCTTCAGAAGAAACAGCAGAACTGTGGTTACTAGAAATGTGATTTTTTATTTTTTTAGAGAGCATTCATTTGAGGGGGAGGAGGAGCAGAGGGAGAGGGAGAAGCAGGCCTCCCGCAGAGCAGGGAGCCCGATGTGGGGCTCGATCCCAGGATCCCGGGATCACGACCTGAGCCGAAGGCAGTCGCTTCACCAACAGTGGCCCAGCGCCCCCAGAAAGTGTTTTTAAAGAGCCTGTGAGGGGCGCGTGGCCGGCTCGGTTGGGAGCGCTTGCGACTCTCGGTACCACGCTGGGGATACAGGTCACTTAAAAATAAAATCTTAAAAATCAAGCAGAGCCTTTATGGTCTAGAACAGGGTCCCCCAACACCCCTGGGCATTGCTGACATCGGGTCGGGCAGGTCGCTCTCTGGGAGGCGTCCAGGCACTGTGGGGGTCCAGCAGCATCCTGCCCCCTGCCCCCCGTGAGAACCACAGCCGTCCCCACATAGGGACCAGTGTCCCTGGGGCAGAACCACCCCTTCCTTAAAGATACACACTGGAGGGCACCTGGGTGGCTCAGTTGGTTAAGCGACTGCCTTTGGCTCAGGTCATGATCCCGGGGTCCTGGGATCGAGCCCCGCATCAGGCTCCTAGCTCAGCGGGGAGCCTGCTTCTCCCTCCCCCACTCCCCCTGCTTGTGTTCCCTCTCTCCTGTCAAATAAATAAATAAAATCTTCAAAAGAAAAAAAGTTTGGGGAACCCCCCCATAATCACCTGGGGGGAGGGAGCCAGAGATACAAACCGCGTGAGGTCGCTATTCCCACTGGGTGTTGGGCACCCAAGCTCCCTGCTGCGATCTTCATCTCGTCTGTATTTGAGAGCTTCCAGGCACAGAGGTAAAGACCTCTGAGCTTAGCAACCTTTCCCATACGTGCTCACACGTGCCCAGCAGAGCCCCCCCCTCCCCGCCTTCAAACCCACCGGGGTCATCACGTGTGCATGCCTGCCCAGCCAAACCCCAGCGGGTGCATCCAACACAACTACGGCTCCCTCTCCACGAGCAACGCCTACTCCGGAAACGCGTCCACGTGCACACAGTTTAAAGCACGTGGTTCTCGTCCCCCGGCACTGGCCACGGGGTCTCCACGCCGCCCCAGGGTGGGCGCCGGGCTCCATGCTGCCGTGGCCTCCTGGGCAGACTCCTGGAGAACGCCATCCCAGCACCAAACCCCAGCCCCGCGTGCCTGGTGGCCGCGGCCACGGACCCCCACCCGCCAGCGCGCACGACGGCCCTGCCGTCCACTCACTTCAGGCAGGAGAACGTCCAGAATAAAGCGGATCCGGTCGCCGTTGACCCGCGCCAGCGTCCTGCTGCCCGTCTCCTGGTAGACCCCCTGTAAGTACTTCACCACCAGGTCCAGCTGATCCTCGTCCTCCAGGTACGTCTCCACGCACGTCACGTACTGACCCGAATTCAGAAACGTCTTCAGCCACCGGGACGGCTTCCTGTTCTTCAGGATGGCCCGCAGGTGGCCCTCGGCGCCCCTCGCTTTCACGATGTACTCCACGAGCTTCTGGTTGGCCCGGTCCCGAGCAGCCCGGGACCGGTCAGGGAGGACCTTCCTGAAGGGCCGCCTCCTCCCCTGGGGGCTCCCCACCACAGGTTCCTCGGGGTACCCCCCGCTCAGCTGCGGGAACCTGGTCCCCAAGACGTCCTGCTGGATGGACTTGCGGACGGGATAACCTGCAGACGAACGACACGTCTGTGGGACCGCCGGCCTGGGTGGGACGGCTCCCTCCTCCTCCCTTCACTGTGCTGTCTGGGGGCTCTGCGGGAGAGTCCCCCCCGGGCCCCCAGGCACAACCACCACGGCCCTAAGGACGCCTCCTCTGATGGGACCTGTCTCTCCCCCGCTCAGCCCGACGCCAGTGTCACCCCAACGAGCAGAGCCCCCAGGGTATGGTGGGACTCTCCGTTCACCCCAAACTCGGGCACCAGGGAAGGCAGGAGGAGAGGCCAGGTGCCCGGTGAGCAGTGGGGGCAGGCGGCGGTCAGGGCTTGTTCCTGGCAATCTAGGGTCAGGCTGGGGACAGGGCGCGGCCCCCACCCAGACGCATCCCCTCCCGAGCTTCAGACACAGAACACGGCTGCTTCACGCCTCTCAAGAGGAGTCGCCGGGCTTACTTATATCGGCAGCGTAATACTCCAGGAAAGAGCCCGCGAAAGAACCGCAGCCTGCAGAGGACGCACAAGAGAGCCACGTCACCCATCAGAGGCGGTGCTCGGGAGGGCCCGAGGGACACGGGGTCAGCATGCCTGCCTTGCGTCAGCCCCGCCCGGACCCCAACACCAGCGCGGCCGGCAAGGTGCCACCGCCCCTGGGGCACCCAGAAAGGCTACCGTCTGAAGATTCCCAACGGCCGGACGTGGGGTGGACAGAGACCAACTCTCTGATTCAGAGCAAACCCCGCATTCCGTTCGCACCCAGTCTTCGCCCCGTGTCTGCCCACCTGCCCTTGTCGGGGACAAGACTGCCATGGGCCCAGGCCGGGCGGCCATGGGAAACAGGCCTGCGCTCTGCCCCCAGCTCGGTCCCTTTGTCCAAGGGTGTGCAGGCCCACATACCAAGCCGGACCCTGTAGTCGGTGATCAGGGAGACACACCAGCCGATGGCCTGGTCGAAGTCCTCCTTGGCTTCGTTCTGCAATGAGACCCAGGCAGCAGCTTCAGCAGGAGGCCACAGGCGCTCTTCCAACCCCCTCTGCGTCCCCGGCTCCCGCGTCCACACCGCAGAGCCAGCAGATGCCCCTGTGCGGGGCTGCTGAAGCTGCATGGGGAAACACACACGGAGGCCCAGGGCTGGGGCCAGGGCTGCTCAGGAAGTGGTCACGTGGGAGCTGAGCACTCTGGGAGAGGAGCGCTGGGGACTTTAAGGAGAGGAAGGTGGCAAGCACCCCAACGTGGCTGATGTCGCCCAAACAAGACTTGAAGCTCTTTGTACGACAAATCCTTCTAAGAGTCATCTCTGTGCCCTTGGCTTAGAACGGTGTCGGCTCAGTCGGGAGGAAGGACGCTCAGCCACCCGTGGGGACGCCCGCCGAGGCCTCAAGGTCCTCATTTGCAAACTGAGGACAATGCCCCCCCACCCCCCCGAGGACCCGAGCTGGGACCGTGGCCCGCTACCTGAGGTCCACGTCCTGTGTTACCGCCACCTCAGCCCGGCCCTCTCCCTGTGGCTGCCACGCATAGCAGCCGGGGGACAGGGACAGCAGGTGGTGCTGCTCCTTGCTCGGGAAAGCAGAGCTCAAGACCGTGAGCGTGACACCGGGGCCGGTCCCTCAGCACAGCCCGGGACAGTCCCAACTAGCTCGAGGCGGCCATGCTCCTGCCGCCGGTACAAGGCCTCAGTGACCCCGTGCACCCCACTCCACAGGCGGGCCTGGCTTTGCTGGGGAGCAGGAAGATGGGCAACAGGCATCGTCCCAGCGTCTGGATTACATGAGGCCACGCATCGTCTTTGTCACAGAACACAATTCTGTGTCTGGGGCACACCGACCTCAAAGCAAGATTCCCGCTCCCCTTTCTGACCACCCCCCCCCTTTGGGAAAGCTATCCGCATCCCCGAGTGGCCCTGGGGTCAGAGCCAGCCCCTGGCCTGGAGGGTTGGGCGCCCGGCTCCCCGCGCTCGCGGGCGTGTGGAAGCTCCCGAGGCCACGGCCGGCCCTCTTCCAGAACCGGGCCCCGCCAACGGGCACCCTGACGGAGACTGGGCGCCCAGCGAAGGCCGCTCTCAGAAGCTGTGCTGACCACACTCACCACAGACGGGACAGGAGCAGGACTACGTCGCAGGGACACGCACATGAGTGGAAGGAAGAGAAGGCTGGGGTCCGGCATGGGCGCTCCCCTTCCCGACCCCGCCCACACCGCAGCCCGGGCCGCCCGCACTCAGGGAGACGGCGGCGGGCAGAAGGCTCCCCGGGGTCTCCCCCTCGAGCTCCCAGGCAGTCCACGCGAACAGGAAGCCTGTGACGTGGAGCCAGGAACCTGCTCACCGGGCTGGGACAAGACCGCACTGGGGTGGGGGGCTAACAGACCCCTCCCCTAGGCTGGGTTTGGGCTGGGATAGCTAGTGTCACCCACACAGCACCGCAGGGCGGACGGTGTGTGTGCAACGGACCAGCACCTCGTGGCTCGTGGGCTCGGTGTACGATCAAGATCCGATGACATTTCGGGGGGGGCTCAGCCACTGGCGAGGCCAGGAAGCCCCGTGGGGCGCCACCGCGGCCGAGCACTCAGCCCCCCGCGCACACGCGCACGACAGCCTCCGAACCATCGCCCGCGTCAGGACACCGGCCTCGCACCCGGGCACACCGTCCTCTGCGCTGGACAACAGGGGGACGGCCGGCAACCTCCCAGGGCGGTGGTGGTCCCCGCCAGAACGGCCGGAGCCGGGCCCAGCAGACCACCGTCACGCGGGAGCGCACCGCTCCCCACGCACGGCGGCTGCTTCCCGGGCACGAAGCACAGTCCGCCTACCAGAAGCGCCTGTTTCTCTTTGCAGTCGAAGTGCTTCAGTCTCCTGAGAGACACCGTGATCCTGGAAGCAGAGGGACGAAGGTTAACGGGGAGCTCCCTCTCCTGAGTCAGGACGACGGTTCCCTCTCCTCTGATGGAACTAGCGGTGACCGCGGGGGCCCCTGCCAGCACCAGCTGCCCAAGGAAGCCCCGGACACAGGCACTAGGGGACGTGGCTGGGGCCGCCACGCGGGACGCTCACCCCCCGGCCACCCGTGGAAGTGGAGGCTGGGTCACTGCCCACAGCACCTGCAACGACTGGAGTATAGTTTGTGGGGAACGGGCGGGATCCGCCGAGTGTCTAACCGGGCCGCCCTTCAAAGCCGGCAAATAAAGCTTGGGACACCGGACTGCCCGAGCAGTCCCCTTCAACGCTTCTGTCTGGATTCGTCTTCCGGGGAGCTGGAGCACGGGGGCATGAGACCATCCCGGCCCTGGACCCCAGCCCCCTCCCCACCATCCCGGCGCCCCCGAGCCGGCAGGCCTTCGCCCGGGAAGCGTTCGCAGAGAGCAGACAGCTGGGTTACCCTCTCCCTTTGGGGTCCATGTGCCCCTCGATAAAGAGCACACTGGCTTTCTTATCTCTTCGCCGGACGCTCTTGACCTGTTGGCAAATCCAAGAAAATAAAGCATCAAGAACCCAGAGGAGGCCGTGGGCTTGAATTACCTTCCTGACCTCTGTTAACCATGCAGGTTGGCACATGGCCGGCGTGTGGCAAGGGGCGCCGCTGCCGGCGGGACCACGGCCAAGCCCCCGGCCGGAGGCTCACACACCGCCCTGTCTGCTGCACACGCCACTCAGTCTCACAGACGAGCAGGGCCAGGTGGCACCTTGCTCTGTTCTCTCTCGTAACAGAAAGACAAGCCCACACTACCTGCCACCTCTGCAGACGACCACACGATTCTCTCCTGACTCAGCAGGACAGGCTCATTCTCGTGTTCAGGATGAGCAAAGGGAGCTCAGGCGGGTGGGACTAGCTGAGGACACAGAGGCAGTGGTGCGTCCCCTCTGCCCGGTGCCTCTGTGTGTCCCCGGCTCAGCCGTAAACCCAGAGCTGACCCCAGGAACCTGTGACCTTGGAGATCCAGGACCCAGCAAGGTCCCCAGGAACTGGTGAAAATGAGGAGAGGTCCAGGAAAAGGGTGCCAGCTGCATGGGGTGGGGGGACACACGAGCGCCTGCCACAAAGTAAATACTGAAGGGAGGCCGAGGGGCCCTGATAAACGACCCCCAACAATGGTGCAGAGACACTGCACGGAGACCCCCACTTCATCTGCGTATCTGTTCAAGCTCCACCTTCTGCCCAGCAGACGCTGCCCGGATGTGGAGCCCACTGTCACTACAGCCAGTCCAGCATGGAGGCCATGCTGCCCGCTGCCCGTCAGCCGCACGGCAACACCAGGAGCGTCTCTGGCTCCTGCAAACACCTTTCCGGGTTCAACGTCACCGTTTCTCACTACAGGTTAAAGCCCTAGGGCCGGAGCCGTCGGAATGCCATCTACACTGGACGGGGAGGAAGGACACCGGACGAAGGAGGGGGAGCCGGCACGCGGCCCTGGCCTAAAAAGTAAACGGACAGCCTGCACCGTCCAGGCGCGGCGCACGGAGAAGCAGGGCCAGGAATTTCACTGCGCTGAGGCCCATCCACCGCACACGCACAGCCGATCCCCACCCTGAAATCTGAGCAATTTAAAAGCTCCAAAGGAGAAACTCTCAAGCGCACAGTATTAGCAATCAGCAAGTTGCCGATTTTTTTACACAGGTTTTCAAGTTTTCCTGAGCCTGCTCGGTCAAGACTGGACCTAAGACCCTCACACTCAACTGTGCCAAAATGATCACACTCCCCTTACTCAGGTAACCATCTCCAGAAACCCCGCTTAGAATCGTAAGGCCGTCGGTTTCTCCCAGTAAAGAAATCTCCGGGGCTCCAGCTGACACGAAGGGGGGCCAGGGAGTGGAAGCGCGGGGGCTTCAGCGGGGCGCTCCCGATGCTTACCACTGCTGGCCAGAAGGGGTATTTCTGGTGTTTAAGCCAGACCAGCATTCCTACTTCAAATGACCGTGGTTCTAAATTAGAAAGAAAGACAAAAAGATAAACAGTAAGTCAGATCCACATCAGGCACCAAATGCAACAACTGAAAACAACGTGTCTGTCGGAGATGCTTAAACCTGATGCTCTAACTCTCGTCAGAGACCCCCACGGTTTGCGAGGCAGTCTCACAACAACGCTGGCCTGAGTGCAGGGGACGCGCGCTGCTGAGCGGGGACAAGCTGGGGCCGACTCTGTAATCTCAAATTATTCCAGATTCAAACATCTTTTTAAGAAGAGTGTGGCTCAGAAACCCCAACAAAAGCAGCAAATTCCTAGGAAGCTCCTCAGTCTGAAAAACTGGGCTTTATCTTCAAAGGGAGAAAAAAACGAGTTACCAAAATCATCATCCAGTGACCACACAATTATCCCTAAACAAACTTTAACAAGACTTCCAACCGCACGCTAAACTCCAGAACAGATAATGTAAACGTTGAAACAGTGAGGTTAACGTCTCGCAGACACGAGAGGCGGCCAGCGCAGCCACGAGGCAAGGTCTGCGGGCAGGCAGAGGGCTGTCATCCGCCTGGCGAGAAGCGTTTGGTTTTTAAGAGAACCGTCAGGGCCCCGTGAGGACAAATAGGTCTCGGGAAACACCCAGACAGACATCAGGCTGCGGGGGGGCTGGGGACAAGACAAAATCAAACAGAAGCAAAAACCAGGGGGTTTCTCGGGGCTGTGGTGACCTGGCCCCCTGCCGGCAGCAGTGGACGAAAATGGCCTTCTGGAAGAATCTGCAAGAAGGCGCGTGGTCCCTTCTCTGGCCGAGTTCTGCTCCCAGGAGCGAAGCCGGCAGAGCTCTTTCCCAGAGGCACACGCCGGGCACGGCTTAGCCCCCCCCAGGCGTGGAACCATCTAGGCACCTCATGGTGCGGGGGAGGGCTCAGTAAGGAACAAGCGTGGCTGCGAAGAGTAATCAGAAGACCACGAGCAAGTGCAAAGTGGGTCTGAATTACCATCAGGTGCAAAAAGGAAAACGCAGAACCCTCAGCACAGATAGGGAGAAGCCACTGCGGCGTGGCCGACAGGAGCCGAGTCCAAGGGCACGCAGGGTGTCGCCCTTGGAGGAGAGGTCCCCCCGCCCCCCCTTCCACGTATTATTTTTGCAACATCTCGTCGTGAATCTATAGTTACTTCATAACGAGAAGGCTAAAAAACACCAGGCTACGGTAAAACGAAGCAATGGGTAAATCTAAAAATGAAATTCATTCTAAATGATTTACTCCATAAAACAAACTAAATTGCTGTCGGTTGTCGGTTTGGGATCTTGGGTCTTTATTTCAGGTCCTTCCACAAAGAGGGCCGAGCGCATGCTTCTGCGCCTGTTTGTTCTGGTGCGGCCCGCACATGCGTGTGGGAGGGGGTCCCGGGGCCCCGCTGCCCCGGGCCGGAGACCCTGCCTCTCTGGACAGACAAGCAATCGCCGTCCCCAAAGGCCTGCAGGCAGCGTGAATAGTAGCGACAGGACCCGGCTCTCCACGGAGGGCACAGGAGGACACATAAAGGGGAAGCGTGCTGGCAGGGACGCCCTCTTCCCTCAAGACCGACGGCAGAAAAGCGCACTCCGCATGCTGCGGGCGCAGGAGGAACGCCAGCCGCCTCTGCCCAGGGGCTCCGCGCGAGCGGAAGCGCGCGCTCCGGCTGCCGCTCAGGACTCACCGTGATAGAAAAGGATTCTGGGTGGCTCCTCATCATCCTCCTCTTCCTCCAGGACGGAATGAATGGGATTAAAGTCGACTGACTCTCCAGAAGACTGACGGTCTGCCAATGATGTTAGATTAGACTTTCACCGTCAGCATCTCAGGGACTCAGCCCAAGACACACATTTCGTGATACGTGACCGTCAACGCAAACGTAAAAGCTCCCACGCGCCCAGATGCAAGGTGGGTACGCTCTGACTAAAGCACACTCGCAGGCAACAAACGAGAGACAGAGCGTGGGGGCAGAGAGGCCTCCGCGTCTCCACGAGGGGCAAGCGCACAGCAGCGATCTAAGCGGACTGAGGGCCTGGCCGGGAGGCGGGCGGGCAGACGCAGGGACAGGCTGCGGCTCAGCTCCCTGCCGCCTCGGACGTGCGGACTCCAAGTCTAAACACATGACGCTTAAACTCAGGGCAGAAACCCGAGTACGTGTGTAGCGAGGGGGTGTGCGGGCACGGAAGCCCGGAGAAACGGACAGTTCTCAATCAGCAGCTCAGAAACAAGACGGGACACCGCCACGCTCAAAGGAAACGAGCCACCGCGCAAGACGGCCGCCACACAACAGTGCGTCTCCACAGGAACTGTGAACGAGTCGGGAGCCTTCTGAGTGAGTCCCTCACTTCTGAGATTCCTGCCCGTTCGGGGCGCGTGCACTGCACTCCTGTGCATCTGTCGGAGCCCAGCCCCGGGGGGTGTGGCCACAGCCTTCCTGCAGCCACCAGGCTCGGCCTCCAGTGCCCCCAGCCCTCTCCCATTCAGAACAAAAGACACAAGTCAGAATTACAACCCGGTGGGAGACACAGACAGAAAGGAATCGGGCAATATCTGCTCTGCCTCTGTTTTGATACGACCTCATTAAGATCAGGTTAAAAAACACACAAGTGAGGGATGCCTGGGTCGCTCAGTTGTTAAGCCTCTGCCTTCGGCTCGGGTCATGGTCCCGGGGTCCTGCTCGGCGGGAAGCCTGCTTGTCCCTCTCCCACTCCCCCTGCTTGTGTTCCCTCTCTCGCTGTGTCTCTCGGTCAAATTAAAAAAAAAAAAAAAAAGAAAGAAATCTTAAAAAAAAGACAAAAACACAACACCCCACAAATGCCTGACCCGCATCGGCCCCTGGGAGAACCCAGATCCGCCCTCTGCCAGCACAAGACCTTCTCGGCCGCAGAGCTTTACCTTCCTCCACCAGGATGCGAAGATTTCTTGTCTCCTCTGGGGAAGCCTGGGGGGCAGGCAGGCTGAGTTTGGCAGCACTGCGCAGAGTCATGCATCCCCTGGGCCTCTGCCTGGGCACTGCCCCCGGCTCCCGCTGCGGGGTGGGCAGCCTCTGACTGCCATCTGGGTGCAGCCGCTTGGCAGGGCGGCCTCGGGCATCTGGGCAGGCGGGGCGCCCCTGGGTCGGGAGCACAGTGGGGCCTCGCGGAGGCAAACCCGGGTCTCGCCCTTTGGCCCACAGACCCTCCTCCCTGACGCTGGGCGGTGAGCCAGGGGCTGGAGGGCTCCTCTCTTGTTCACCGTCTCCCCCTGAGAGCGAAGGTACCCTCTGACACGAGCTGGGCTCCTGTGCTAAACTTCTTCCCTTTTTACTCAGGGCTGTCCGCCTTCTGCAGCACGCTCTCGATCCACTGGCGTCCTGAGAACCACCTCTGGCTGAGGGGACCACCAAGGCCCACGCACTCTCACTTGTCCCGAGCTCCTTCTTGCGGTCTTTGCACTTGGGGTCCTTTCTACACGTGGGTGAACCCGACAGCCTTGGGCGTACACGTGCCCTCCTCTGAGGTCCGGAACTGCTTAGCACGTCTTCCTGGAGACCAGAAGAGCTGGGGTCACAGAGCGAGGAGGCCAGTTCCATGGGCTTCTCTCCTGAGGACAGAGCAGTTCTTTCTTCCCTTGAAGAGCTTTCTTGAGGCAAACTGGTTCTCTGGTTCAAAACATCCAGAGCCACTCGAAGCGAGCGTCTGTAGGCCAGTTCCTCCAGGGGTTCAGCAGGAACCTCGTTCTGGGAGGCTGCAGGGGTGAGAAGCACACAAAGCCGTGACGCCCAGGCGCCTAGCGCTGCTGTCAGAGCATGCCCCCGAGGGCTGACACGGGCTGTCACACCTGAAGGGGGGACGGACCCTGCTCAGCTCCGTCTTTCCCAGAGCGTGACAAGGCCACAGAACGACAGCCATTGTTCGCGGCCGTAGGGCTCCGCTTTTCCAAAACCAACTGACTAACCCCAACCTGATTGGGTTACAGAGATAAATCCCTCCGGGTCACAAAAAAATACTGCCAGCAAAACGTACTCAGATGCTTCCCACATCTTCCCAGCCTCACAGTTTCAACTTCAATCAGGCTCAATAAAAACCCTTGCCAACTCCATAAAGAACTCTGCCGGCAACGTGTTCTTGGGTGGCGGTGGGGGTGAGGGGCAGCCCATGAAAGGGACCCATTGTGGGCTGGTGGATTTTCCGTGCTTCTGTGCAAGGGCGTTTCCAAGCCAGAAAAGAGCATCACGGGCCTGGAGATTTGAGCCTGACCTCCTCGCTGCTACAGTTGGATTTATTCACTCCGACCCACAGATACGGCACTGTTTATGTGAACGAGGCGATGGGTGCCGTATCGCAACTCGGCGGGCACGACCCCTCCCGCACAGTCTCTTCCCGGGTTACTCGTAAAGGCTCCCACAGACCCCCCGCCCCCACACAACCGGGGCAGGCGAAGATGCGTGTCCAGGAGGCGGGGCTGACGCCGCCTAAGGTGTGCCGAGCGGATACCGCTTTGAAGCCAAGCGGCTTTTCCAAACGCAGATGAAAACGAACCCTACTTTATACACACCACTGGAAGGACTCCTGGTCAATCTTTCCACAAGACTCACAGCACTCGGTACAGGGGGTGTGCGCCCCCCGCTCTGAGGCGGCAGAAAACACTTCTGCTTAGGTTTGCTGAGCCGCCAGCAGGCAAGCGCACAATCAGCCCCAGCACCATGGGGCTCAGCCCTCCCTCCCACCAGGAAAGGCAAAGGGAGTGGGTGTCGGCGAGGAGAGCCCCGGCAGGCCACGGGCACCCAAACGCTCATCGCATAGTCCTTTCTCCCTGGAGCTTGGCTGTGGAATTTAAATACACAAACCCCTGCTCTCAAGCCCCGGGCAGAGAATGAACCAGCACCGAAACCAGTTTGAGTCTTACTGTGGGATGGGGGTGGTGGGGAAGGAAGCATCTTGCCCCATCTCCTCATGGAGGCAAATGCACACCGGAGGCCATGGATGTGACCAGCAGATCCCAATGCTCACGGCAGGCCACACTGGGAGTCAAGAACAGGATCGGTTCTGGGGTAAATTCTACAAAGGTTTAAGAAAACAGATCCATTTTCTTCTTCTCCTTTGGCTCAGGGTTACCTGGGGAGCAGGGTCTTTCCTTCCCCCACACAGTCTCTTTGTTATTTAGAGATGTGCTCTTACCCAGGGAGGAGGCGATCCGTTCGATGTGGGCCGTCTTCAGGATTTCCACGTCTGCGCTTCTCACCTCAATCCTGCAGGGACAGAAACACCCGTTATCCGCTACCAGCCAAGGCCACGAAGGCATTTTCAAAAGTGTTTTTCCTTAGATGACAAAAGAATTCGATTTCTTTCTCCTCAACTCTCCACTTAAACCAAAGTCACAGCCAACTAGGAATTCAGGTGTCTGAGGTGAGAGGCAGCAAGGACCCTGGTGAATGTTTTTTTTTTTTTCCTTTTAAAACAGAAAAAGTTGGGGCGCCTGCGTGGCTCAGTTGGTTAAGCGACTGCCTTCGGCTCAGGTCATGATCCTGGAGTCCCTGGATCGAGTCCCGCATCGGGCTTCCTGCTCGGCAGGGAGTCTGCTTCGTCCTCTGACCCTATCCCCTCTCAGGTGTTCTCTCTCTCTCAAATAAATAAGTAAAATCTTAAAAAAAAAAAGAAAAAAAAAGAAAACAAAAAATTGGCTGGATTTAAGAGTAAAAATGAATTCAAATTGTGACTTTTATGAGGCAAATCCTACTTCCAAATGCACAAATAACTCCTTTGTTAGATTTTCAGAGTAGCCGATAATGTCACTAAATGCTGTTTACAGCCCAGCAGGTGTGTTTTAGTTTAAAAGAACGCACTTTCTTTTTAAACTCAAGTAGTCAATTACCTTCCCAGCCGCAGGGAAGTGTGAGCTCTGGACTAAGCAAGCTTAGGAGGCCGCTCTGGAGGAATGGGGACCTGGGGAAGCTGTAACTGGAGCTGACGAGGTTTTATTCTGAATTGGGAATTCTTCCCTCAGACGCAGCAATACCACAATCATACGTGATCTGGGCCTTTTAATTATCCTGGGTAATATTATGTTCTTCCGCCTCCGAATAATCAAGGACAAGAGAGTAACATGCGTCCACATAGTGTGTGCCTTCTGAATGCCAAACAGTAGCTCCTAAACGGACGGACAGGCTGAAACATCAAACACTTCAAAACTGATGGGCCTGTTACACAAGTCTGAGAAAAAGCCACACCGATCTGCAGAAGGAACCATCCCTACGTGAACCCCAACGAGACTTTCCCCCGTGTATAATTTATATTTATTCGATTTCCCTGCCAATCTCTCACACGGTGGATCTCATATGGATCTTCAATTTACAAATGGACATAAAAAAAAAAACCCACCAGGATTTTCCTCTTAGGATTACGAGCACAAGTCCTTCACAGTAACCGAAAAATAAACCCCTAAGAGTAGACTTCACCTTTGGGTGCGGAGATGCGGTATCAAAAATACCATTCACAAAAGAGTAGTATTCAACAAACCCAACACTTAACTTTTCATCTAGGGAGAGTATCTGAACACTCAGAAAAAGTTCCTTTCTTCTCTTATTTTCTGTTGACGTCTCAGTTCTTGCCAACACCTACGATAAAGGGAAAAAAACCCGTCGTTACCAAGACGCCAGGAGCAGTTAACGCAAAGGAACGCTCGTGTGCAGACGCAAACGCAGCAACTAAGCCCCCGGGACCTCGCAGTACCCCGGCCCGCCCGGGACCTCGCAGCTGGGGGAGGCCAAGGAAGGTGCCGGGGTGAGCGGCAGACGCAGGCAGCGAGCGCGGCCTGCCGCTGGCAAGCCCCCCAGGGCACTGCCCCCGTTTCCAGCCCAGAGCTCCCTTCCAGACATTCCCTCGAGGTCCGCGCTGCCTCTCACGCCTCGGAAGCCGAACCTGCTCGTTCTTTCCGAGCTGCGGAAAAAGACGCTTCTGGACGCGTAACCTCGGGAGCCGCCGACCAGAGACCCCGCGAGGCGGGGGACGAGGCCGGCCGCCCGCCCGCCCCCGTGTCTGCGCCCCAGGCTCCCCCGGCCCGTCCCGACGGGGACTCCCCTGCCCGCCCGGAGGGCTCCGCAGGCCGGAGCCGCACACGAAGGCGGTCACCTTGGCGGGCCACAGTCGCTTCTCCCAAGTGCACAGGACGTACTGGGCGTCCGTCATGACTCGGACTCACGCGGCGAGAGGGGACCACGGGGCACCGACGGGGCGCTGGCAGGTCCGCCGCGGGGCGCCCTGCAACACAGTCGACGCAGGGGCCTCGGGGTTGTGTGCGGGCGGCCGGCCCGCGGCCGGCACGGCGGGGTCGCCGCGGCGCCGCGCTCCCGCCCCGCGGGCACGCAAACGGCTCCCGCACAGCCCGCCCCGCGCGCACAGCCCGCCCCGCGCGCACAGCCCGCCCCGCGCGCACAGCCCGCCCCGCGCGCACAGCCCGCCCCGCGCGCACAGCCCGCCCCGCGCGCACAGCCCGCCCCGCGCGCACAGCCCGCCCCGCGCGCACAGCCCGCCCCGCGCGCACAGCCCGCCCCGCGCGCACAGCCCGCCCCGCGCGCACAGCCCGCCCCGCGCGCACAGCCCGCCCCGCGCGCACAGCCCGCCCCGCGCGCACAGCCCGCCCCGCGCGCACAGCCCGCCCCGCGCGCACAGCCCGCCCCGCGCGCACAGCCCGCCCCGCGCGCACAGCCCGCCCCGCGCGCACAGCCCGCCCCGCGCGCCGCCGCGGCGGGGGCCCTCAAAGGACGGGGACAGCTGCGCGGCTGTCCTCCCGGGCCGGCCGCCCACGGGCACCGCCGCCGGAGGGCCCAGGCCCGGCCGCACGCGGCACGGCGGGGCCTCGGCGAGCGGGGCAGGGGGCGCACGCGGCGGGGGCCCTCCTCTGGGGGTCCGCCCCTCCCCCAGGCCCGCGCGGCCGCCTCAGCCCCCGCCGGCCGACCCGCGGGACGCAGCCCGCAGGGCTCACCGGGCGCCCGGCCTTCGCAGCGCGGCGTCCCCGAGCCCGGCGCGGAGGGCGCGGAGGCCGCGGCGGCCCAACGGCGACGACACCCGCGCCTTCCCGGCCGCCGCCCGCGCCCACGCTCGCCGCCGCCGCCGCCGCCGCCCCCCGCGGGCTGTCGCGGCACCGCCAAGCCCTCCCCCGCCGCCGGCCAATGGGGCGCGCGTATCCGCCCCGGGACCCGCCCCTTCCGCCCGGGCGGGCGCGCGGGCGGTTGACTGACGGGCGCCGGGAGGGCGGCGCGAAGCCGGGGGGCGACGGCGGGCGGCGATGGCGGGCGGCCTCGGTCCGGGCCGGCCCGCTCTCTTTGTGAGCCCGCCTCCGGGCGCCCCCGCCCCGACGGCCCGAGAGAGCCTTCCAGAGCCTTCCAGAACCTTCACGCTCCTAGGGCGCCACGTGCTGCCGCGGTGCCCACGGCGGAGGCACTGAGCGCAGCCCGGGAGGCAGGTACCGGCGCGTGGGCTGGGCTCCGGGGTCGCGCCGCCTCTTTTCAGCCGAATCCCCCGGCGTCGGCCAGGCCCGTGACCTCGAGCCTCGCGCCCCGCCGCGGGCGGAGGAGGGCGACGGGCGGGGGGATGGAGAACTGGGGGCGCGGGGGGCGCGGGGGCTGACGCCCGGGGGTGGGGGCGGGGGCTGACACCCTGGGGGAGGAGGGGCGGGGGGCGCGGGGGCCGACGCCCGGGGGGCGGGGGCGCGGGGGTTTACGCCTGGGAGGTGGGGGAGCAGGGACTGAGACGGGGTGGGGAGGTGGGGAGGGTGGCAGGGGGGCTCAGGGGCTGATGCCGGGGGGGCGGGGGGCGCAAGAGCTGATGCCGGCGGGGGGGGCGACAGGGGGGCGCGGGGGCCGACGCCCGGGGGGGGCGCGGGGGTTGACACCCTGGGGGCGGGGGGCTGACGCCCGGGGGCGCGGGGGGCACGGGGAGGTCTGACGCCCGCGGGGGGGCGCGGGGGCTGACACCCTGGGGGAGGAGGGGCGGGGGGCTGACGCCCTGGGGGGGCGCGGGGGTTTACGCCTGGGAGGTGGGGGAGCAGGGACTGAGACGGGGTGGGGAGGTGGGGAGGGTGGCAGGGGGGCTCAGGGGCTGATGCCCGGAGGGCGGGGGGGGCGGGGGGCGCAAGAGCTGATGCCGGCGGGGGGGGCGACAGGGGGACGCGGGGGCCGACGCCTGGGAGGTGGGGGAGCAGGAGGGAGCAGGGGATGAGGCGGGGGTGGGGGCTGACTCTGGGGGCGTTGGCGCCCGCGGCGGGCAGGGAGAGGGGAGCTGACGCCCGTAGGTTGGGGGGGGGCCGGGGGCGGGAACCGCTCGGCGCGGGCGAGCAGGCCGGGCGCTGCGCCCTGTTCCCGCCTGCGGTGTAGACGGTGCCCGCCGAGGTCCCCCTGGGGCCCTGCTCGGGCAGTGGGATGGATTCAGGCGGTGGTGGAGTCTGAGTTCGGAGGTGGTTTGCAGGATGCGGGCTCAGCTGTGGTTTGGGCCGACTCGCCCTCGGGGTGCGTGTGGGTTTGGACGTTGGGTGCAGTCGTCGTGGGCTGCCGGGGGCGGGAGCGGCCCGCCTGGCCCTCCGCACCTAGGGCTGCGGCGGAGCGCGAAGGGGCAGCTGGACCTCGTCCGCCCCGGGCCTTGAGGCGTTCAGACCCCAGCCCCGCAGGCGCCCCTCAGTCAGACGGGCTCCGAGGCCGGTTCCGCAGTCGTGCGCAGACCCCTCCAGGTGCGGCTCAGCCCGGACTGGTTCCCGGAGGGGGTGTCTTGTTAAAGGCCGTCCTCCTGGCGCTTCTGCCGGGCTTTTCGCGGCGGAGCCTCTCGCGCCCTGCGCGTCTCGGGGTTCGGGGGAGTCCGCAGCCTTCGGGGCCGCCCGGTGGCCCGGCCTGGGCGTGCCGTGCGGGGAAGGTGGCCCTCGGGAGCTCAGGCCGATGGGGAAGACAGGTCATCAGGTAGCAACGGCAGCATGCCGGCGCTTTGCCCTCACTAGCTTCAGTTAGGGCAGGACCCGTAGAAGGCCGGGTCGTGATGAGCCCGTTATCGTGGTTACCCCACAACAGCGCAGAGCCCATTAGCCGAATGCTTCCCAGTTCTGTGCAGGGCCTGGCCCGGCTTCAGCCTGGCGCTTCGGGTGCTCCCCGGCAGCACGTGTGTGCTTGATTCGCCCGAGGGTCCGCCGGCGCCGGGGGCGGGCTCCTCCGCCCTCCTCCGCCCTCCTCCGCCCTCCTCCGCCCTCCGTGGATTCGGGGGTCCCTGCCCGCGCTCGCTCCAGCGGCGTCGCCGGCTTCTGACTTGGCTGCTGAAGGTTCCCAAGAGCACAACCCAGTTTACAGACGAGGAAACCCAAAGAGAAGAAGGTTGACTCATCTGTCCAAAGCAGAGCTGAGATTTTATTTTTAGGATTTGTTATTTATTGATTCCAGGAAGACGGAGCATGAGGGGGGGGCGGAGCAGAGGGAGAGGGAGAAGCAGACTCCCCGCTGAGCAGGGAGCCAGACCCCGACTCTAGGCTCCATCCCAGGCCCTTGGGATCGCATGACCTGAGCTGAAGGCAGGTGCCCCCAGAACTGAGGTTTGAGTTAGGAAACTAGCTCCAAAGCCCCATGAAACACAGGTTCTGACAAAGCTAATACAGGAGGAGTTCAAGAAACCAAGAGAGGAACAGACAATTTTGTTTGTGGCCAGGGGTCGGGGTGGAGGGGATCCTGGAAATGACATCTAGCCTGAAATCCTGACGTCTGAGTGGCCTGGGGATTGGGGGAGAGTTTTCAGAGCTTAGGGGGCCATGCAAAGACCCTGGGGTGGTGGAAGGCCCTACCTGTTAGAGAAAGTAAGTGATGCCTAGTGAGGCCCAGAACAAGGGTCGGAAGCAGAGGGAGTCCCTCAGGGCTTAGGTGTGCCCTAGGAGGGTTTCTTGGTTTTGTTTCTAATTTATTATTTTATAATAATTACCAACCCACAGAAGTTTGCAGAAGTAGTCCAGAGAGGAACCTTGTACCTGTCACTCCAATTCCCCCTGTGGTTATATTTTGCGTATCTGTAATACAATATCTCAACCAGGACACTGAGATGATAAAGTGGTGTGTGGAGCTCTGAGCCATTGTATGATGCGTAGATCTGTGTACCCACCACCCTAGTCAAGACACAGGACATTCCCATAGCCACAGAGAGCTCCCTCCAGCTGCCCCTGATAGACACCCCCCCCCCAGGCACCCCACTGCCATCCCTCGTCCCTGGGCACCACAAGCCTCTTCTCCATGTCTCTTAATTGCCTGTGAATGCTCTGTAAATGCAACCATACAGCACATAGCCTTTGGAGACCTGCTCTTCTCACTCAGCGCAGTACCCCGGAGAGGCATTCAAATTCTCACATGTGTCAGGAGTTCTTCCTTTTTGTCTGAGTAGTGTTCCATGCGGTGCATGTGCCGGATAATTTCCCTATTTTAAGGTCCCTGATGTCAACCCCATGTATGCATAGTTTCCAGGGATCAGAGTGTGGACATCGTTGGGACCCATCTATCCCACGCAGGGGATCAAGGAAGAGTGGAGGGCATGATCTAGACGCTGGCATACCACGTCTGCCCGGTATTCCCAGATCCAGGCACACCCCTACAGCTGTAGCTAGCTGCAGGCAGGCTGGGAAAGTTGTCTTTACTCTAGGAGCCACTTGCCCAGTCGTAAGGGAGGTTCTCCTTGGAGGAGAAGGGACATCGGAGGACAACTAGCAAACCCTCATCAGAGCTTGTCCGCATCTCAACCCAGGGGTGGTTGAGAGGATTCACCGGGCCCTTGCCTGTGAGTGTCCTGTAGGCTGCCTGGCACCCCACAGCTGGGGCCCCGGTGGGCACAGCAGGTAATATCAGGGAGGCCGGTGCTGTGGGGTGGCCTGAAGACGTGCTCCTTGGGCACATCGCCTCCACCTCAGTTTACCCACTGTGAATTAGGGGAGACTGCACTGGGTATCTCCCCTGTGATCCTACTGCCTCGTACCTGTAGTCCCAGTGGTAGAGAAGGCTGGTTTGTCTGTTCCCCACCCAGCCTGGGGGAGAAGCCTGGCCTTCCCTCCAGTGTCTGGGGGGCCTGGAGCCTTGGAGTGCAGTCCAGGAGAGATGAGGACTGAGTGACTGAGTGATCAAGTGGACAGATGTGTCCCTGTGGGGTTGCCCAGTGGACTGTGCCAGGAAGCCCCAAGTAGACCAGAGCAGAGTCTGTGGTACTCAGGACCCTTATCCCCGTAGCATGTAAAATAGAGGGAAGGCTGCGTCTGTGACTCGGGGGGGCTGAGAAGAAACCCCAAAGAGAAAGGAACCCACACACCCTAGGTCTCTCCTGCCTAGACCTAGGTACCAGCAGCCCCACTGCGAGTGAGCTCTCCTCCTACCTGCCTCCTATGGGCTACTCCTGGCCTACGCTGTCACCCCTCTGTGTCTTTGACGGTGTGGCAGGCCGAACACTAAGATAGTCCCCAGTGGCTCACGACCTTGTGTATCCACTCCCCTTGAGTGAGAGCAGAATTTGCACTGTGATGGGTGTCACATCTCTGATTATATGTTTTATGGTGGAGGTGAAAGGATTTTCTGGATGGAATTAAGGCCCTTTAATCGGTTGACTTCTAGGGGTGCCTGAGTGGCTCAGTCGGTTAAGCATCTGCCTTTGACTCTGCTCATAATCTCAGGGTCCTGGGATCAGGTCCCACATCAGGCTCCCTGTTCAGCGGGAAGCCTGCTTCTCCCTCTCCCTCTGCTGCCCCCCTGCTTGTGCTCTCTCTATGTAAAATAAATAAATATAATCTTTAAAAAGAGAATCAGTTGGTCTTTAGTTAATGAAAAAGGAAATTATTTTGGTGGGCCTGACCTAATCTGGGGAGCCCTTTAGAAGAGGGACTGGGGGTCCTCCTGAGGTCAGAGGGACTCTCCTGTGTCCATGGAGAAGCAGGACACTGCAAGGTATGCAGCTGCCCGGAAGGAATTGTGCCAACAGCCCCGTGAGCTTGGAAGGGGCCCCTCCCTCAAGGCAGCACAGGCCCAGCCAGCCCCTGGAACACCACCGCAGAGACCCTGAGCAGAACACCCAGCCCTGTGTTCCCCAGGCTCCCGACCCACAGAAACTTTCAGATGAGCGTTGTTTTAAGCCTCTAAGTCTGTGATCACTTACACGTTGCAGTAGAAAACAAACAGATGGCGTTCCTCCATCCGCCATGGTGGAGTCCCCAAGCTCCCTCTCCCGCCTTCCTCGATTGTTGTTTCCGTGCTCTCCCCAGCCTCCTTGCCCTCCAGAGGCCCAGGTCAAGGTGCAGCTGCTTCAGGGAACCCTCCCTGGGAGCCCACAGCCGGTCTGCACCTACGGCGTGGTGGTCACTGGTGGGGTTCCTGTCTGTTTCGTTCTCCCTCCTGACACGTTGCACAGGGTCACTCGCACTTCTGCCCCCATCAACACAGGCAGGGCCGTGGCATGGGTGCCGGCGGGAGA